ACAACAGCCAGAGTGATCCTTTAAGAAGTAAATCGGTTACGTCACTCTTCTATTACAAACTCTTTGTCCCTCATTTCACACAGTTAACATTTTTTAGAATGTCCTTCAAGGCCCCACATGTTGTGACATGCCCTCCCAATCTCTAATTGTTACCTCCTTGGCTCACTCCTTTTAGTCACAATTGCCTCCTCACTGTTTTCTAGAACATGTAAAGCATTCTATCTCAGTTTCTTCTGCCTTCAGCATTGCTCCTTCAGATATCTACATAGCTTATTTCTTATCTTCTTTAAGGCTTTGTTTAAATGTCACTTTCCCTTAAATTTTTCCTTGACCACCTATTTAAAATCCTAATTCTCCTCTTTATCCTTGGCTGCTCCTTATCCTACTTTTAAAAAAGCACTACTATCTATGGTCATGCCACCCTAAACAAGCCCCCACGTCTGATCTCGGAAGCTAAGCAGGGTCGGGCCTGGTTAATACTTGGATGAGAGACTACCTAGGAAGACCAAGTGCTGTAGGCGTAAAAAGTAAAAAATAAGGGATTGTAAACTGACAAGGTCCTTGCAGTCTGTGAGGTCAACCAATGGTTGCCTCACCTAAAAAAAATAAATAAATAGAAAATAAAAATAAATAAAAAAAACTTATGACTTTAAAACATACTACATAATTTTCATAATTTCAAAATTATTATTTTCTTTCTTTTGCAAGATTGTAAACTCCATAAAATAAGGGCAAGGGTTTTTGTCTGTTCACTGGGATTTTCTCCACAGGTTAAAGACCTGGCTCATAGTTTGGTGCTCAGTAAATATTTGTTGGATTTGTTGAATGAATGAATATTATTGCTATGACAAATATACAAATTGAATTCAATATGCTGTGCCTACATAGTAAGAACTAAATAAACATTCAGATAAATGGCATTTTGGTTAGATGTCATGAATTAGAAGGCTTTTGGAGGAATAATTTGCTAGTTATTAAAAAGTATTATTAATGTTTTATTGCAAAGATGCCTACAGAAAATGAAGACAATCAAAATAATTTTATTGAAATTGTGTCATAAATAGAGGATTTTAAATATTGCTACACTTATACATTTAAAGAATTTGCCCCATGTTTAACTACTACCCTCAACTGTCATAAAATCTCAACATTGGTAGCCTTGGAAAGGAAAGTGTTACTGATGAGCAATTCGGTCACTGTTCTTTATTTTTGGGAGTAACTGTTCTTTAGGAAATATGTTTAGGGATAATCACACTCCTTTAGTAGATGGAGTATTGATGTGGCTCAGCTTTTGTAGGGCTATGATCACCAAGTCATTTGTAAAGGTAGTTACCCTTAGCCTTTGGATTTTTAGATGTGTTTTGAGTAACAGGAAGCTGTGAAAAGTTGAATGTTAACAAAAAGCTAAATGTTTAAAAAAAAAACAACATATTTGGAGATATCATATACTGCCTCACAATTTGAAACCCTCACCGAATATTCAGTTTATTCCTTTATCTTTATAGTTATTCATTTTTTAAGCAAAAAAGTTTTGAACATAGTTTGCACCCAAAACATTTATAATAGGTCTGTGGAGGAGGATATAAAGGTGAATAATTAAGAGACCATAATCAACAAGTGTTTATAGGATGGTGAGAATCTACATAATATCACTTTTATTTCTGTGTATGGAAAAACATAGTAACAGAACAAGATTAACGTGAGTTTTCTGCTAGAAGTTTTATAAGGGGGACTGACTACCTTGGTTTCAAGGTAGGATGTGGATATTATTTTAATATTTAAGATTTTTTTATTTAAAAAAAAAAGTTCTAGGACCATAGAAAATTAAGAAGTTTTTTTGATAGCCTCTTTTTTTGTGTTCATAGTATCTTGATAGACTAAAACATGATCTCGTTCTTGAATTTCATGTCCATTTTAGGTATGATCTGAAGTTTAACCATAAGTTAATGGTTTATTTTCAGAATTTTCCTTACATGTTATTTTAGTGGCCATTTCTTAATTGTATGGATTGGCTTTTTTCATATTAATAATCTTACTTAATGCTAAATAAAACCACTTTCCATCAGATTTGATAATGAAACACTTTATTTGTGCTGCTTAATTATAGTATTCCTTTGGTTTGTTGGCCCTGTGTATTTAATTATTCTTCAGTAGGAGAGAGCTTCAATAATTGATACTTGAGTCAGTGAGGCTGATTGGTGTGTTGACTTAGCCAGAGAGCTAACAAGTCCACACAACAACTGCTACACTTGTGTAAATTTACTGTGTGTTTCTAAGGAGACCGTTGATCCAGTGTTGTAAATGCACCTCCACTACCCCTGTAATATCCTTATTATTTAGCTCATAAAACCTTTTTTATAATGTTAATCTGCTTACCTGTGGTACAGTCTTTTTTCTCTCCCTTTTTAACAGTTTCCTTCTTGATAATCTACAGTCACTCATCCAAGCAAGCTTTCCATTTATTAATATCTTCATTCTACTTATCTTTTATCCATCTCTTAAACCATAATCTCTTTATCACAGCAGTCAGACTTTATGAGAGAGAGACTCAATTTTACCTAGGTGTGCATTGCTCTTCCTTTACTATAATAGAGAATTACCTTTCAGATATTTAGTTTATAAGTATTATTTTCAAAAATACTTTTTGTTTTGTACCGAAGTAGTCTGTAATTATAGGTACTAAGTGTTCTCAGGAGAATTTATGTCTAGGAAAGAAAAGTTTTGTTTTTTAAAAGAAGAGAAATGTTTTAAGTAATACAGAACTAATTGTGTTTTTCTCATCTTTTCCAGTTTTACAAAGTAGTGTGACTCTTGGTATTTGAGCTTTATAATATAAAAAAACACTCTTTATTTTCCATAATTTGAAAATGAATTCTTGGGTGGAAAAAACTTGGCCAATAAATTGTGATTATTAGAATATTTTTTATGACTGCATTTTCAAATGTAAGCTTCTTTTGCTCTCTTCATCTTTTGTTTTTCATATCCTGAAATTATTAGGGTCAACAGTTACCAGTTTTTTTTAAGTATTTAACAATTATTTGGGAAATGTGTTATTTATTCTATCTGATGAATGATAAACCCCATCTCTGATGTAAAATAGTATTTCTAGATATGAAATTTTAAGATCAAATATTTTAATTTTCTTATGTAATAAGGCAATAAAAATAAAAACAGCCATACCAACCCTTTGTTTGCTACTGTAGGGTTTGTTTTATTTATGCATTATTTTAGGCATGTTCTTTTTTAAAAGCTCTATTACTTTCTGTTACTACCTATTATTATAATTCTAGTAGAATTATCACACTTAAATGGTTTATTTTGAAGATTCTGCAGTGTTCACCATTTCTTTGTTAAATGATAGTTTATATTGTGTGGATACATTAACTGTAACAGGATGTTGCATTAATTTATTTGAGATGCCATATAAATTAAATTAAAATTTCCAATTTTGTTTGTTTGAATATTAATCACATTTTAGATTAAATTTTTCTTTTACATTTAGAAGTCCAAATAGTAATCTAGAGGTTAAGAATAAAGTTTTTAAAAATCTGTTAAATGAATAATTCTGTTATACTTTCCTTATTGAGTTGTCTTTTCACCATGAGAGAAATTAAGCTAACTGCAAAGTTAGGGGACACAATCAACAAAAGACTATCCTCATTTCTGATACCAATTATGTTTTTCTCAGAGGTTTCCAAAACCACCGTCAGGTCCCATAATCTGTTAGAAGGACTTACAGAACTCACTGAAAGTTGTTATACTTATGGTTATTGTATTCAGCCTCCAATATCTTTATTTCAGATATTATTAAGAAGACCTACGCTTTAAGTGAGGCTGTATTTCTCATCTTTCTAGAAGTTAAGATTTTCAATTTTATTTCATCTTACAAGCTTACGTAATTCCATCCTCTGTCCCAAGTGTCCCTATAAACTAGTGAAAGAACCAAAGGGAATAATTTCTAGATGTGTAATACAGGAATTGGTTAAATAATTGTATTTCTGTCTTGCAAACACATTGGTAGTTTTTGCTTTTTTTCTGCAAAGACTAAAGTTGTTCCTTACAGAAGTGGTAATTATACCTAAACATTAAATATCTATTGTAGCACTGTTGCTTCTCTAATATTTGTAGGATAGTTTGGGGATTATGTTTCATAATCTAATAGATCAAAATATTTGTTCTTAAAAATTGACCTAAACAAACAGTAACATTTTAAATAAGTTGGTTTTAACTAATTGTCCTTCCTAAATGTAAATTTTTAAATCTTGATAATAGGTCTTAACAGTTATAATGAAAAAGCTTGTCTGACTTGTCTTTTGGCATTAACTCATCAGCTTTAGAATTGGTGAAAACTCTTAGCTGAGAATACATTACTTAAATAGTAGTCGTTTAAGAAACAGTACACATTAAAGACCATTTTGAAGATTAATGGATTAAAAAATCATTGAATATAAAGGACTTGGCCAGTATAGAAATAAGTCAGGATTTTTAGGGAGTGTTGCACAAAATATTTGCATGCAAATACATAAAATAATATTACATAAAAGGTCAGGAATTTTAGGAAATGTTGCACAAAATATTTGCATGCAAATACTTAAAAATATTATATAAACAATATACTTAATATATTAAATATACTTCAAATATAATTAATATACCAGATGTATTTAAAAATATACTATTAAAACAATGTCAGAATGCAACCCCTAAGTATGATTTCTGGCACTTCAAATGTAACATCTTGGAGGATTGAGTTTAATCAAAAAAGAGTGCAGAATTATGCTCCCAATTATGTGATGGCAGTTCTGTTTTTTAACAACTATCACATAGACGTGCAGTAATTTTTCCGTACCTTCCTTTAGCTTTTGTGATTCTTGAGGACTTCTCCTTAAACGCCTTGATATTCAGATGAAGTAATATTAACTTCTAATATTTTTAGTAGTAAATGTGGATCATTATCTGAGACTCGTTTTATTTAACAGAATATTTCTCTTCCTTTTCAGCGGGGATCTGATGAGCTTCTTTCTTCTGGCATCATTAACGGACCTTTTACCATGAACAGTTCTACTCCTGCAGGTGTGTATGGTGAGTTTTCATTTTTTCAAAATAAATTTATTGTCATAAAGTTCATATACATGAAATTGATTTACCGCTCTCTTAAATTTTAAGGATTTATTTGGATCTAATTCCATAATTTCTTTTTCAGTCGATGTTCTGTATGTTACACAATTGTGTTGAAACTATCAATAAGCTAGTGACCCTGAACAATTGAGGAAAAGAGCTAGATAAACTCTTGTGTTGAATGATGATAGATTTAGAATAGAAGTATTAAAATTTTAAGGTGACATGTTTTTTAAAAATTGAAACATAATTCACATTCCATAAGGTACCACATGATTTTAAATAGTTTTGAAATTTGGAGACTTTAAAACAAATTGTAGAAGAGTAATACTGGAGGGGGAGAGTAAGCAGTTAAGAGGCTGCTGCGCTATAGGGTATCCTACAAGGGATGGTAATTTGTACTATAGCGGTAGCAGTTGTGATGAAGAGAATTAGAGAACTTACAGAAGGTGAAATTGATAGTATTGGTGAACACTGTTTGGTGATTAATGTTTGAATGAGAGATTCCATTGATAATTTCCAGATTTTGGACTTGGATAATTAGATAGATGGTGGTACCACTCATTTATATTAGAAAATATAGGAAGAACAGAGTTGGACAACACGGCAGGTTCAGATTTTTACGTACGAGTTTGAGTTCCTGTGGAACATCCAGATAGAAGTGTCACATAGACAGTAGGTTCTTTTGGTCTCAACAACATGAGAGAAATTTGGATGTGAATATCATACAGAGCTGAAGCCATGAGAGTGAAGAGTCTCAGAAAAAGTGAGATTTTTATACAGATGTTTTTGGAGTCACAGGCAGTTGACCTCACTTTCTAGACCCTAGAGCTACATGGAGTTTGGGAGAGTGAACAGCCTTTATGTGAGGACTCTGTAAGAGAAGTGGACCAGGTTCAGTTAAAAGATGAAAAGAAAATTCATTGAAGAGATTAAGAATGTATGAGAGTTGGTCAACCATGGTACATTGCTTTAGGGGACTAAGTGGAAAGATTTTGTAGACAGGGCAGCAACGGGGGTTTGTTCATGTAGAAGTGTGAATAGAGTAATACAGGCATGAGACTAAAGTAACTTTATCAAAGTGGAGCTGGCATCAGGATTACATGGAGGACTTGTTAAATCGTGGTTGCTGAGTCCATCTCCAGAATTTCTAATTAAGTAGAACAGGGGTGGGTCCTGGGAATTTTCATTTCCACAAGTTCCCAGGTAAAAGCAATGCTGCCATTTGAGGAACCATAATTTGAGTACTAAAGGAAATGCTAGAATCTGAAGTTCCTAAACCTGATTATCCTTTTGATAGGATGGGCTTTTTACAAAATTTCTTCCCTTACTCTCCAGAGTTACAGTACCTCTAGAGTGGGTCCCCTGTGTTTGTTCTTATTTTAAAAACTGAGGTCGGTTAGTTTGTTTGGTTATCTTTACAAATTAGTGGGATAGATGACCAGAAAGACTTTCACCTTGGTTGATTGATTAATTAGGAAAAGAAAAAAGTATGAGATGTGAGTTTAGCAGACAGCAGCAGTTTATTGTTTTGTTTTTATGTTTCAAATTTCTTGTATCCTATTTCCTTACAGGGTTCAGTGTTTCTCTTCCTGAAGCACATCCTCTTAGTGGCTATTTCAGCAAAGCTCTATAAATGGTAACCTTTCCACTGACTGAAAATGTCTGTTTCATTATCACTGTTGAATGATAGTTAGCTATTTAGAATTCTAAGTTGATAGTTATTTTCTCTAGAATAGTACTTTGAGCATACTATTCTATTATTCTTTTGGCTTCTGTTATTGAGAAGTCTATTGTCAGTCTAGGTAATTACTTTGTAAGATAGTATTACTTCCTAGCAGCTATTCTTAACATTTCTCTTTTTTATTCTGTGGTTTCATTAGCTTTGCCTAGGTATGGATAACAGATTTTCAGCTCTGGATGCTCACTAAAATAGTTTAGGAAGCTTTGAAGAAAATACAGATGCCTTGACCTACCTAGCCACACCACTTCCAAAATCTCTGTGGGATTGGCTCCAGGCAGTCAGGGTTGAGACCATGGCTGGAGATTTACTTTTATTTATCCTGCTCAGTAGTGACTCGGTTCTTCACAGAGTTGCCTCTTTTGAGAACTGTAGTTAGATGTGTATAGGACCACCTCATTCAGTCCTGCATTTGTCTTAAACTATATTATGTTTGTTGTCATCTCTTTCTCCTTAAGGTCCTGTATTTTGGATAGTTTTCTTAAACTTCTTTTCTGATTCCTCATCTGTTTAACTTTGTCTAATGTGCTGTTTAATTCTTCTACTAAGTATTTTATATCAGTGCTTATATTTTTCATTTCTTTACGTTCTATTTGATTCATTTTTAAAGGTTACACAGTTTTTATAAAATAGAATCCTGTTTTCTTATGGTTTCTATTGTTTTCTCTTCTAATTCTTTAATCATTTAAAACAAAATAATTTTTATACTTCACATTTTACAATTATGGAGTTCTTGGAAGTTCTAATAGTCCCTATTTTTTGTATCTGCTAATATTCACTCATGGTATATTATTTTTCCTTGTGCAGATTCATAATTTTTGGTTGTGAGGTAATCTTTAGCTGAATTGTTTTTTTCTTCTGTGAGAATCTCCAGAGTAATTTTGTGTTTGCACTGCTAGACTTTCTAGGGTATCCCTACCCCTTAACATGTTCTAATGCATGTGTTAATTTATTGCCTTGGGGATTACTATACCAGAAGGAAAGAGAAATTTAGATATTCACATTTCTCTTATCAAAATCCCTAAACAGAGATTGGCTTTCTTGTTACATACGTCTGGTAGATGGAAAATTTTTAATTTACCTTTCACTGAGGGGATAGCCTGCTGAGGGGAGTTTGGCTCTTGACATCTGGAAATTTCACTTTTTTTTCCGAGGTATTCTATACATTATAAATATTTTTGTGATATTTTATTTAATATTTGCATTTCTCCAAAAGTTTGCTACCTATACTGTTCATTTGGCTGCCAAGCTGCCAGTCAGTGGGAGAATGTGGGAATTATTGGCCAGATGCACATAAAGTACAATTTTGTTTATCACCATTCTATTTTATATCTTGCAGTAAATCCATAAATTCACAGTTCTGAATTAATTTAACTTGCAAAGTTTCTTCTGCATGTATAAATGATAAAGTGATAGGTGTTAATATGTTGACTCCATTAATAGAACTTTGCAAACAGTTAAATTATATAAGTTTTATCAGCATCTGCTAACACTAGAAAATCAGTTATTTTCCAGTAATGGTTTAATATTGAATCCTTTCAATAAAATCCCAGTAAAGCTTTTGGAAAGTCATTCTATCAAAAGTGAAATATCTGACACTAATGAAAATTCAGTGTCAGAAGTTTAGCATTAAAGATGAAACATTTTTTGGAGGTAATAATACAAATATAAATTTTGGTACAGCACAATGTCATGGTAAAAATGTGATGGAAAGATTTAAGAGCTGTTGTTGCCTGTGAAAAAATTGTGAAAAGATTCAGTCTCTCACTGGCTGACTTTTAGATTTAACCATTGTATGGATGGTGGTTTATAAATTCTTGGATGAGACCGTGGCAAAAACTGGAAGTTAAAATAAATGGATTCTGCTAAGCCTATTCTGGCTTATTTCAATGCAATTATTAATAATAATTTTTTCACAAGTGAAGATATTAAACTATACAAGATGCTGCTGGAACCAGTGGTACCAAATTGTGACTATTGCAGGCAAACTAGGGCATACGATAATTCTACTTAGGTATTAGTTATTAATATCCCTTTAAAAATATCTCAGCTTATTGTGGACATACCTTCTTCCATATGAACTTTATTTCATCTAGTTCTAAAACAATTCCTCACCCCACAATATTTCCCCACAAAAATCAGGGATTCTGATTAGAATTATATTAAATTTATATGTTAATATGAAATGTGGGTCTTTTTGTGGTATTGTTTCTCCATCTGGGAACATGATATGTGATTCCATGTTTTTAGGTTTTATTTTCTGTCCTCTGATAATTATGGAAATGTTTTATACTTTTCTTCATAAATCATATGTTTTTCCTCTTAAATTTAACCTTAGGGATTTTGGCAGAAACTGTTTATTGTATATCCAATATTTTTCTATTTTCTTTAATAACAAAACCCCAATTTTTATCTGGGCACATTTCTACCAGGATTAAACAACTACTTTTCCAGTCTTCCTTGTAGCTAGGTGTGGTCATGTGATTAAATCCTAGCTAATGAGATGTAAATAGAAATGTTACTTCTGAGACATCTTTACGTGAGTACACAGTTTTTTCCTCTTTTAACTGCTGCCTTCAGGAGTTCCAGCTTCCATCTTAGATGGTGCGAATGAAGGCTGTACCCTAACAGAGAGAGAGCTAGAGCTTGAATCATTGATAACTGTATGTCATCATTCTAGACCTGGAATTTCAACATTTAGACTTTTTACATGAGTGAGAAGTTAACCTTTTTTCTTAGGTAGCTGTTATTTCAAACAGAGAGAAGTGAACAAATGACATGAGCCCGATAATCATCCTGGCTTTTTTTCTAAACTGTGAGGAGAGGGAACCTTAAGCAAACACGGCAGAATTGCTGAATTGAAGAGTTGGAGATCCAAGTTTGGGAAGGCTGAGGCAGCTGGGAGGTATGGGGACAGAGTAAGGGAAAGAAGGGAGTTCTGTGAGAAAAGTGCTCCAGAAATCTGCCTTTGAATCTCTTGCTGACTGTTAAGCCACACATGCCTTACCATGCCTCGTCATCAACCAGTGGTTGTTGACGTCAATTCAGCACTAACAGGAATCTCCAATTTGGGGTGTGGTAAAAAAGGAAACTTTAGTGCAAACCGCTTAACTGTGATACAGCATGGCTATGAGAATAGTTCAGTAGTGTTATAGCTCAGTTATGAAGCAGCAGGGCTGCAAGGTGGTCTTGGAGCCAGGCCCCTCTCCAGCTACACAGCTCT